AGAGATTGAGAGGTGTAGAGGATCTACCTAATACATAGTCACAAACCCAAACAGACAACCAAAATTAGGAAACAAAGAAACAACCCCCAAATAAAAGAACTAGGGAATTCTCCAGAAGAAGAGATAAATGAAGCAGAGATAAGAAATTTATCTGAAACAGAGTTCAGAGTAAAGATGTTAAAAATGCTCAACAGTATGAAAAAAGATATAGTAACTATGAAAAAAGAACAGTCGAAGATAAAGAATGACAAGACAAAGAACACACTGGAAGGAATACACAGCAGATTAGGGGAAGCTGAGGATCGAATCGGTGGGTTAAATGCTCTAATCAAAAGGTGTAGGGTAGCTGAATGGATACAGAAACATGACCCAACTATATGCTGTCTACAAGAGAGCCACCTCAAAACAAAAGACACACACAGGATGAAAGTGAAGGGATGGAAAAAATGTTCCATGACAATGGAAAAGAAAAAAAAGATGGAGTAGCAATACTCATATCCGGCAAAATAGACTTTAAAAGCATCATGCTAAGTGAAATAAGCCAGTTGGAGAAAGATAAATATCATGATCTCACTCATTTTTGGAATATAATGAACAACATAAACTAAAGAACAAAAATAGAGACAGAGGGAAAGAAAAAATAAAGTTCAGAACAGTGAGTGGAGAAGCAATAGAACAAGCACAGACATATTTTAGAGTCAGATGTACCTGAGTTTGGATTCTAACAACCCTAATTACTTTTGTGATTGTGAGAAAGGTACTTAACCTCTCTGAGCCTCACCTTCTCCAGCTAGAAAAAGGGGCTGATAATTACTTCTTTTCAGGATTATTAAGGCCTTTATTAAATGGTAGCTACTAATATTTACTTCAGTTACACAGGGTGATATTTTAAGGAAAACATGCTTGTCTCCATGTGACCACCAGTGGGATTAAAAATCACAGGGGTTTCAACACAGGGAGGACAGTTCTGTAGGGTTGGAACCCAGTTGCAAAGACACTAGCTTCTCCTTCTGGCAGGCAGCTTTGTCACTCAATCCCAAGACAGCAAGCCCTGCACCTACCCAATTATCTTATTTTCAATTATTTCCCAAGCTCTTTCCCTTTGCCTGAACCCTTTTGTGCTGGTAATACCTTTGCTGCTGCAGCGTCAGCCTTGGATTGCAAATGCAAACCCAAATTTCTTGCCCTCTTCCTATTTTTGGGGTGGGGGAATTCAAAAGGAGAAGGGAAGTTTTTTGATCACAGTTGGAAATTTTACTCTTATATCTGAAAAGGACAGCAAAGTTTGGAATTAAAATCTGAGCCAAAAGATTGTTAAAAAATGTTTCTTATATTTTTCTGATTATAAAAATAGCACATCCTCCTTGGAGAAAAAATTAAGAAAATATGAAAAATTATAAAGAAAATTAAACATTGGGGGGGTGAGGGCATGAGCAGGGAAGTGGGAGGGCAATGCGGGAATAAGGACACATGTAATACCTTAATCAATAAAGAAAAGAAAGAAAATTAAAACCCAGTTTCAATCCCACTATCTAGATTATATTTCAGTGGGTTTCTTTTATCTTTCTATATATGTAAGACATATAAAAATTCTTATTTAAAAAAAAAACTGAGATTATAAATATAACTTCAATTCTTATTTTTTCATTTAGCATATAATAAGCATTTCACCACGTAATTTTAAATGCTCTTTGAATATTATCTTAATAGTTATATATCATATGAATTTACCATAATTTGCTTAACTAATTTCCTCTTGTTGAATAGTCAGGTTTCACTATTACATCTACTACTATAATGAATACTCTTATGTAAAAACATTTGTTCCTATATGCAATTATTATATTAGAAATTAGAACAGATTCTTAGTAAATGGAATTAATGGGCTAGCAAATGTTATGGGTGTTTTTTAAGGCTCTTGATACATATTGCTAAGCTGCTTTTCAGAAATGTTACACTAATTTATGCTCTTATTAAACATGAATAAAAGTACTATTCTCATCCAATCTGACCACTGGAACAACAAGCAGACATCACAAATGGATAAAAAGCATTTTCACTATCATGACAAATACTTAGGCCATAATAAGTAAGTAGAGGAAAAAACCAGAATACTAGTTGTAGATTAGGGTATATCCCCAAATGTATAAAGATATATATTTGAAAGTGATTACCATGAATGGTGAGACTATTAATTTTTTAATATTACAGTTTTATGTATTTCACAAATAGTATGTATTGCCTTTATAAAATAATTTTAAAATGAGGTATACATCATAATTCTATTTTTCATTGTTCAAAATTTTCTACAATAAACAAATAACTTGGAATAAAAAATAAAGAAGTAAAATGTATTTCAAATGTATGAGCTGCAATGAAATACTGCCTGACTTTTTCATTTAGAAAAGGTAATTTTTTCCTTTCCACTGGCAGCAGCCCCAGGCTCAGCCGTGACTGAGACCACAGCACAAAGACAGAGCTTTCATAAGGTGTCTGTACCTCATGAGTCCACAGTTCTGTTTTTTTCCTGCATCTGTTTATGTCTTTTCTTTTTAAAATACAATATTTGGTCTGGGGTAAAAATACTAATTCTATGAGCTGATTAAATAAAGATTGCTTCTTTATTTTCCCAAGCAATATGAGCTTAACTTATGCTTTCTGAAATGACTTTCTCTTTTAGCCTTGTTTTAATGATTATATTTTTTTTTTAATTGATTTGAGAGAGAAAGGGGAAGGGAGGGAGAGAGGATAGGGAGGGAAAAGGGAGAAGGGGAGAGGGGGGGGAGGAGGGAGAGGGAGAGAGGGATAGAGGGAGAGAAGGGGAGAGGGAGAGAGGGAGAGAGGGAGGGAGAGGGAGAGGGAGAGGGAGAGGGAGAGACCAATTTGTTGTTCCACTTATTTATGTATTCATTGGTTGATTCTTGTATGTGCCCTGACTGGGGATGAAATCCACAACTTGGTGTATCGGGATAATGCTCTAGCCAACTGAGCTACCCAGCCAAAGTCTTAATGATCATATTGACTATGCATCTTAATAGTAAACTGCCTTTCACATTATCACAAAGAAGTTCATATAGTGGTATACTATACAGCTATTTAAAAAATCTGTAAGTATTGATGGTAAATAATTTTCAAAATATGTGAAGCAAGGTACACACAATGTAAGCAGTGTGTTGCCATTTGTATGACAAAGGGAACTGTATATGCATGTATATGTACAGAATATCTCTAGAATGATATAGTAGGGGCCTCTGGAAAGAGGAAAGAGGAGATGAGAGGAAGGCTTATGTTTGCCTTTCTACTTTTTTGTGTTTGTTTTAAATTCTTTTCTGTGTACATTTTTTTAAAGTTTTTAAAAAATTCGTAGATGCTTTGAAAGTCATTTTACATGATGGTGGAATAAAAACTGTAAGTAAAAAGAAGTATATGAGCAAAGGCAAGTTACAAGAAAATATATCTGCTTTGTTAGGAAAAGATAGCCCTTTGTGTTAGTGTTTGGACCTCATTTGAAAATTTTCAAATTTTAGGATACTTGAAATTTTAATCAGTCATTCTTTTCAAGTTTCTTTTCATCTAATGCTCAAGACCTAGTAGTCTGAAAACTGGAACAGGGCGGAGAACTCTGCTTGCTAATGTTCACATCCCCAAAGCATACCAAGAAACAGATCACATCTTGTCTTTGCGATTTTCTCTTACGAGAAAAGTTGATAGAAAAGTATTTTCTACCGAATGGAGCTGTGGCAATCAACTAATCCTTGTAAAGTGTTTTCAAAATAAAGCTAAGCGTTGTCTGTGAGAGTGAGGGTGGAAGACAGACAGTGATTTTTCTCAAAATGGTGCACCTCTTTGTCTGGAAGTTCTAAACTAAAGTTTTATTTGATGGGGGAAGCCTCCAAGCCTACTAAAGCCCCAGAGCTTGACACAATTAACACACCCAATAAAACATTCAATATCCTAATCAGAATACCCACCTGTTTCTCAAACACAGGGAGCAAAGCACCAGACTTCCATAGGCCTCTGTGAATTTCTGTAAAGCTCTTAGCCCTGCACCAGGCTCTGTGAATTTCTGTCTGGCTTCAGCAGCAGAGAACAGCTTTTCAGCAATCTGCTCAGGAAAGCCAATAAGGGAATCAATGTGATCAACATTGTCGGAGATGAAGCCCAGGACCAAGCTGAAGAGGGATTTGGCAGAGTACCGAAGGTTCCCCTCCCGAGTGTATGTGAAGATGAAATGATCGGTCTTCTCTTTCTGTGCAGTATCATCTTCCCTGTTCATGCAAAGCTCCACAGAAAAGCCTTTGGGAAACAGTCTGAAAGGCCTTGGCTTCTGCAGGCTACTCCTGACGCCATCCAATGCCAGATTGACCATGTGCAGCTGCCCATTCTCTCGCACATAGATGGGCCCTGGGTCCAGGTGGTTTTCTGAGTTGAGGTAGTAAGACATTGCCTTGCTTGCAACTGCAAAAGCAAGGCACAAGGGAAGCAAATCCAATTAAAATGCCATTTGTAACATGTAACTTCATCTTGCTGTGCCCAGAGTTTTATGAGCCTACCAGGCAGGCCCTGTGGCTGGTTTGGGAAAATGAAGCTTACCAGTTGCCTATGAACTTTGGCACTGGAGACTGCTTCTATTGCCTCTACCTGGAATGCCCTTTCCTACCCTCCCCCTTTTCTTGTCTATCTGGTGATCTTCTATTCATCTTTCAGAATCCAGTTCATACCAGTATGTCATTTTTAAAATTTACCCTCAGGAAGTTTAACGCAGAAGTGGGCAAAGAATCATCGACAAAGTAAGTCATGGCAGCAGTTGATATTAGCAAAACAATGGGAAACAACCTAAATGTCCAAAAACAGGAGTGTTATTAAATAAATTATGATACATCCATACCATGGAATGTTATGCAGCCATTACTATTATAAAATTTTTATTGATTTGCAAGGTACAAATAGTACATTTGGAATTTATTATTTCTATTATTTTTAAACCATATATATATATAACAAAGACTAGAAATGAAAAATTCCCTTGCTACCATGGTACCTTCCTCACACTTCTTTGTTGTACTTGGCTCACTGCTCTGCTACTGATTTGTTTCTGGGTCTGTGTTCAGCTGGTTTGAGCTCCTTGAGAGGAGGGACCATGTTTAATTCAGCCAGACTTCCTAACAAAGTGCTCTGGCATGTCACAGGCCCTAAGCAGGTATTTGCAGAACTGCAGTTTACTCATTTGCTAAACCTTACACAGACCACAAGCAATAGGGTTTGTATTGGATTTACAAATGAAGACCTCTGTCACAAGAGCTAAATAAAAGCTATTCTAACCCTTGGAAGCATCACTTTTATTAAGATACTTTTAGGGCACTTTTGAGGTAAGATGAAATATTAAAAACAGTTGGGTATTTATGTGATCACATGGTTATATTTTGTATGGAAGCACTAACTGGAAGAAATACTTGTTTTCCTGAGGAACTGTGAGATTTCCAAATACACAAGAAATTGCTATGTTAAAGGAAAGTATTTGATTATCATTTCTACAACAACTAGTACACGAAATTCAAAAAGCTGCTATTATCTCTGAAAGACTTTCATTGACTTTTAAAGTGAACCCACCCAGCTTTTTCTGCATCGATGCAGGGCTAGGATGTAGCTATGATGACACTTAAAAGTGTCAGCAAACAAGTCAGTGATCAAAAATGCTGACTCTCTGAAGATCAAACAGTTGATCCTGTTTGTGGGCATCAGTACAATCCATGTTTCTCCCAAGGATAATTATGTGCGTAAAACACATCAGAAAAGAGGGCCTTGCTTAGGCTAAGAGCCTCACCCTTTTCTTTTTGCTCTACTCTGACTAGGCAATACCACCCACCAGGTAAACTGGCTGGGCTCTTTTCCCACTGGCCTTTGCCCATTTGGCTCCCTTTGGTTGGAATACCCTTCTCTGCTTCCCTGACTTAGCTAATTCCTACTCATCATTACCACCACCATCCCTCTCCTGGGAAACCTTCCCTAACCCCTGTACCAGTGCCTGTCTGGTTTTTCCCAAAGCACCAATGGCTCCTTCTACATAACACTTAGCACCATGTACTCTGTCTCCTCTCTTACCAATGTTCCCAGAGTTGTGAGCTCTTTGAAGGCAAGGCACTTATTTGATTTGTTTCTCATTCCCAGGCCCAACGTAGCGCCTGGTGTTGAGTAAGCCCTCAACAGATATTTGCTGAGATGAAGAGTGAGACCTCGAAGGGACAGGCTTAGTGCTCTGAGCTTCAGGGCCTGCTGATACTGTTGCTAGGAGCCAGCTCCTCTTCCAGGCAACAGCTGCAGCTCCTCCCCCACTTGCCAGACCCTTCTGCAGGTGGTAGAAGCAAAGCAAATGATGGGAGTATATT